TTTCAAATTTCCGCGCAAACGCCCGTACGCCTGAAGAAAATTCAACCGGTACTGGAGCAGGTCGAAGGGTACAGAGTGTGTAGTTACTGTAATTTAGTATTGAATAGGACAAATTTATACCGCATGCGTGAACATCCCCGTTAGAAAGGGAAGGGGAGTTTCAAAATTCTTTTTGATGAGAAGGGGTCATAACTGAAAATGAAGTTCATGCTCTAAATCGAGCTTGATACGATATCCCCTTTGGTTTTTTCCAAACGAATTCTAGCTTGCTTTTCAGAAGTTTGTCGCCGAGGTTTGATCGCGCCAGTGGGACTATACAGACCATTCATTATGTTGTTTGAAATAATGGGCAAAAAGGCTAACGAATTAAACATTCCGGTACTTACGGTTAACTCAAAGTTTACAGTAAGGTTTTTGCACAGCAGTGCGTCATGGTGCGGATAATGTTGGAACTTATCTACTGTGATTAGCATTTGAAACTCGCGCTTCAAATGACCACACAGCAGATAGTTTCAAGGTAATTTCCTTATTCTTAAGAAATATCGTTCAAATCATATTCGTTATAAATCGCTTATGACTTTAAAAATTCTGAATTACTTAGATTTATCTGTAAAAACGTGATTGTAAGAATTAGAGACTAAGTGGTCACAACAACTGTTGCGTATTGGGATGACAAAGCCTCAAAGTACTGATCGAGCAGTTGGCTGCACATGCATCGAGTATGCATAGCATTGAGCTTTGATAAGTAAGAGAAACAAAAGAAGTTTAGAAGTAACTGAAAAGCTCTTCATAAATATTATCATCAAAAAATTTTTTGCTCTTAGAAGTTTAGTGGTTAACAATGCATTAATCATCACACTAAAACTCGAGCTATTTTTAAAATATTAGAATTTTATTCCTCCAACTGAAAGAGTTAAAAGTGTATCTCACAAACTTTTTAGTCGAAAGTGAACATGACGGTTCTATTCGATCAATTCTGCGATCTCGTTGAAAGAGGAAGAAAAGCAGGAAAGTCAGTGCTGGTTTGCAGCGCCAAAGGAAGAAATAGGTGCGATTCTAAACTGATTGCTTTGGAGCCCCCACAGCACATTCGCACTTCTTCAGAGCGCCTGCATTTTGTGCAGCGTACTTGATCAGCAAAGAGAAGATGAGTCGTCAGCAAGCTGTGGCTAAGGTCATGGAACAGGTATGGTTAA